CTCTGTCTCTCTCTCACACACAGAAACACTTGAATAAATTTAAAATTAAACTAAATATACAATACAAGGAAGCAAACACCTTTACTGTCATCATCCCGTCACTTAGAAGGCAGAGTGAGCTCTGTGAACTCTGAAAGTCATGGAGAAGAGCATGAGTTACTGCTGCATTTTGTCAAGTTTTTCTCATAAGATTTTCATCTTTTATGATCATGTGAGAATCTAGCTTTTTTTATTTGATAGATGGGCACATGTTCCTTCTAGTTCTACTGGCTGTACAGCTTTGACAATGGAAGCAGGTTGGATTTCATCAAAGAAATTTTCTGCCTTTTTATTTCACCTTTGATTGCTATTAAGTGCCATCTAGTTGGTTCATGGTGTTTCAGGAGCACTTTTCTAACTCTTTTGTTTTTGGGGTCTTGTTTTATTTTGTTTTGTGAGGCCGGGTTTCTCTATGTAACACCCCTGGAACTTGCTTGGTAAAAGAGGCAGGCCTTGAGCTCACTGATATCCTCCTGCCTCAGCATCCCAAGTGCTAGGATTACAAGTAATATGTCACCACTGCTTAGCTTTTCCTCATTCTTTTTTGTTGTTGTTGGTGGTGGTATTTTGTTTCCTTGTTTTTCGAGCCAGGGTTTCTCTGTAGCTTTGGAGCCTGTTCAGGCTGGTCTGGAACTCACAAAGCTCTGCCTGTCTGCCTCCCTAGTGCTAGGATTAAAGGCATGTGCCACCAGCACCAGACAGAACTAGCTCTGTAGAACAGACTGGCCTCAAACTCACAGAGATCTGCCTGCCTCAGCCTCCCAAGTGCTGGGATTAAAGGTGCCAGACTAGATTTTTTCATAATTCTTGAATGGGGTAACTACCAAAGGCATTTCTTCCTACTTGCTTTGTGTTTGATTGCTTGCTGTTTTGAGTTTTGAGTTTGTCTGTTCCCTGTGCCCTAGGCTCCACACCTGTCCCCTGAGGGCACCTGGTAGGAGGAGATTCAAGGTCACCACCCCTTGCTAAGGTCTAGAACCATTAAAGGGTGAGGCTACAACTTGACTGGTCTGCTTAGATATGCTCTGTGTGTGTGTGTGTGTTTATCAAGAAAGTGTTTCCCTGCCTAACAGTCCTAGCTGTACTGGACCTAGGCTGTAGACCACGCTTGCCTTGAACTCACAGGGATTCACCTGCCTCTGCCTCTAGAGTGTTGGGATTACTGGCATCTGGCACCACCACCCAACCTAAATAGATATGCATATTTGCTGCCTTCTTGTTGAAGTTGGAAAACATTACCTTCTTGTTGAAGTTGGGAAGTTGCTAAATTCAGTCATTTTGGGGTTTCTTAGCAAAAAAACAAAAACAAAAAGAAAAACAAACCAAAAAATCTTTATTTGCCTTCTTTGTTTTATTTCACATCTTAACTTGATTTTTTTTTGGGGGGGGCAGGACCTGTCTTTTTATTTGTGCCTCAGACAAACTATTTCACTACATAGACCAGGACTTTCTTTTGAACACTTTTTGCTGCTGCAATTACAATTTAAAAAGAAAAACTAAAATTAAAATAAATAACCTGGGATTAAAAAAAGAAAAAAGGGGGAAACACAATCAAACACAAACCAGGTAGGAAGAAATGCCTTTGGTAGTTACCCCATTCAAGAATTATGAAAAAATTTAGCTTGGCGCCTTTAATCCCAGCACTTGGGAGGCTGAGGCAGACATATCTCTGTGAGTTCGAGACCAGCCTGGTGTACAAGGTCTATTTCCAGGACAGGCTCCAAAGCTACAGAAAAACCACATCTTGAAAAACAAAACAAACAAACAAACAAACAAACAAAGAGCTAGTTCCAGCACAGGCTCCAAAGCTACAGAGAAACCCTGGCTCGAAAAACAAGGAAACAAAATACCACCACCACCACCACCACCAAAAAAAAATTTAGAAAAAGCCAAGCAGTGGTGGCATAATACTTGTAATCCTAGCACTTGGGATGCTGAGGCAGAAGGATATCAGTGAGCTCAAGGCCTGCCTCTTTTACCAAGCAAGTTCCAGGGATGTTACATAGAGAAACCCGGCCTCACAAAACAAAATAAAACAAGACCCCAAAAACAAAAGAGTTAGAAAAGTGCTCCTGAAACACCATGAACCAACTAGATGGCACTTAATAGCAATCAAAGGTGAAATAAAAAGGCAGAAAATTTCTTTGATGAAATCCAACCTGCTTCCATTGTCAAAGCTGTACAGCCAGTAGAACTAGAAGGAACATGTGCCCATCTATCAAATAAAAAAAGCTAGAATCTCACATGATCATAAAAGATGAAAATCTTATGAGAAAAACTTGACAAAATGCAGCAGTAACTCATGCTCTTCTCCATGACTTTCAGAGTTCACAGAGCTCACTCTGCCTTCTAAGTGACGGGATGATGACAGTAAAGGTGTTTGCTTCCTTGTATTGTATATTTAGTTTAATTTTAAATTTATTCAAGTGTTTCTGTGTG